TAAAGGAAAAGTGCAGCTTCTGCAAAGAAAAATTTGTATCCCCCACCTCACATCTTCCCTCTGCTCCAGCCTTGTTGCCGATCCCCTTTCCAACCTGACCTCCTTCATTGCAACCCCTGCCCCCTACCATTCTGCCCCCGAATCCTCCTTCACCCCTTCTTACTTCCACATTGCTATTCGGCAGGGCAGCCCCCCAAGAGCAGGGCTGGGGCAAATCACTTCCCTGCTTGGCCCAACCCTTTGCCTGGAGCTCACCCCTCATCTTCAGGCTGCGGTGGGTAAAGCCCAGGGCTGTCTCCAGTCTAGCTAAGCACAGTGGGGCACTGGGGAAGAGTCTCCCCACCCATATACACCCATGGGGAGCAGCGTGGCACAGAGCAGGCCCCAGCACCCCATGAAACAGATGCCCCGCCCCAGCTGCAGAGCAGCCCCAGCTCTGCCCCCTCCCAGAGCAGGGGGCAGAGCTTGTGTGTGTGTGTGGGGGAGGGGGTGGTGTTAACCCCTTTAGTTTCCAGGAACTGCACGCCCAGGCGGGGCAGGGACAGCTCCAGGGACATGAAACCCAGCGCAGGGTCATGCCGCCCACTCGCTGGCTGGGCTGGGCTGGCCTGGCCCCTACGCCATGCTGCACCACCCTCCCATCACCGTGCCCCCCCCTTCCCCCCAAGAGGGAAGCCAGAGCTTAGTCAAGCCACAGACTGCACTTTGAGGACCATTGCATTAGTTTTGGTTCTACAATCTTACTCTTTCTCTGCATGCTTACCTCCATTACCATGTGGGAGACCCACACCAGCAGACTACATAGGAGAAACAGTGAAATTAGCTAAACAGAAATTTGTCAGGTACATGTAACAAACCAAGTAACTTCTTCTAATTTTACAGTAATATGAGATACTAAAAATACCTGTGTGAAATAGAATCTTTAGAAGTGTGATAGAAATTTAAGCATTAAAAGATTTGCTAAAATGGTAATAAAGTAAGACCTAATGTGGGCTATTTTATATGGTTCAGGAAGGCAGGAATTTCAGATTGAAGTGTTATGACTGAGGCTTTTTTCCTTACTGAGCTAGAATATATTGACATTTTATTTTGTTTTTAGGTTGCAGCTGCACATACCATTTCGGGAAAGCAAACTAACTCACTTCCTTCAAGGTTTTTTCAGTGGAAAAGGAAAGGTACATATGATAGTAAACATTAGCCAGTGTGCTGCTGCATATGATGAAACGCTCAATGTGCTAAAGTTCTCCTCAATTGCTCAAAAAGTAAGTGCACTATAACTTTGTAATTGTAGTTTCTTAACCTTCAAAGCTATATTTTGGCAATAACATAGCGCTTTCACATCTGTACAATTTAGACTTGTAAGCAAATCCAAAATCCCACCTGTATTCTACTTCAGTGCTTTCTCTCCTCCTCCCACCCTTAAAAAAATTGAATCTCTAAATTCATTCACTCCTCACGATTAAATTAAATATTCTGTAATCTTTCCTGGTTGAAATACTTAATTGTTTTGGCAAGGAAACATTTAAAAACCTGAATCTTTATAAAACATTTTGATTTACAATGCTTTCTTGGGCTCCACTAGCTAGAAAACCATAAATGCTAAAAATTCCCAACTTCACACACATGGCTTGCCTATCTCTGATCTGATTCATATTTTTAAAATTTTTGTATGTTTTTAATGCAAATCTCTGACCTGGTTCATCTGTTGATCATAAGCTATTTTTTTTCTCAGCAAGCATGTCATAGGAAGTACATCAACTTTTTTACTCGTTAAATTTTTATCTCTGGGGGGAGATTCTCTCCAGCACTAATTGCAATCTGAATCTGTAAAAGGGACAAGCTGCCTTTGGCTCTTAAGAAAATCTTCCACTGTTTGTGCCAAAGTAATACATCAGCAATTCTTTTGCAACAAAGGAATTAGCAACCCTGCTCCTGAGGCTGCTTTCTTCCTTTAGTCAGTCTGCAGAGCTTCATTCCAGGAGAGCACAGGAATCTCAATACAGTGCTGTTTCTGCACGATTCCTTCTTTTTTCGGCATTTGGAAAGTAATCTGGATGAAAAATTAATTTGCTGCAACAGCAAGTGGGCATTGCCAATTACATGAAGTTAGCCCCTAGTTGCATGCTAAGTGGGAGCCATGGCTGCAGGTTACTTCCATAAGTGCTTAATATTCTCTGAAGTAGTATCTAACATAATTGACTATCCCTTTCCCTCAACAGGTTTGTGTTCTAGACACTTCTAATCCTTCTCAAGAGCATAAGTCTGCAAGAGAAATGTCTCTTATAAGTAATCCTGACACTAAAATGCAGGTAGCAAGAAAAAGAGCCACTATACTTTGGGACAGGAGCCTGGAAGATGTGATAGAAGATAATGATGGTGATTTAACTGTGGATAACAAGGACATAAGTGAAGAGCATGATATTGCAAAAGAGATGCCAAATGAGGAGGAAGAGCACGATACAGCAAAAGAGATGCCGTATGAGGAGGAGGAAAATAAAGTAATTATTGGAAAAGAAGAATATCTGGTATGTACCTGGAATGCTTTCAGAGTCAATATAACTTTTGATAGGTGGCATCCTTCCTTCCTAAAATGTATTCTAGGGGACTGAAGCATGCAGATAAACAACCAGTGGGGCCACTGGATGATCGAGATACTAAAGGAGAACACAAAGATAAGGTAATTGCAGAGAAACTAATGAATTCTTTGTATCAGTCTTCACAGCTGAGGTTGTGAGGGAAATTCCCAAACTTGAACCATTCTTTTTAGGCTACAAATCTGAGCAGTTGTCCCAGACTGAGGGTCATTAGAGGTGGTTTTGGAACAAATTGATAAATTTAAACAGTAATAAATCACCAGCACCAGATGGCATTCACCCAAGAGTTCTAAAAGAGTTCACCCAAGAGTTCTGAAATATGAAATTGTAGAACAATTAACTGTGGCTTGTAACTTATCCTTTAAGTCCATTTCTGAATCAGATGACTTGAGGATAGCCGATTTTTAAAGTGTATGCTAGAGGTGATGATAGCAATTATAGGCCATTAAGTCTAACTTCAGTACCAGGGAAATTGGTTGAAACTATGGTAAAGAACAGAATTATCAGACACATAGATTAACATAATTTGTTGAGGGGAGGGAGGCATCAACATGCTTTTTGTGAAGGGAAATCAAGCTCTATACATTTACCAGAATTCTTTGGGGGGGGGGGATCAAAAAGCATGTGGACAAGGGGGATCTAGTGGATATAGTGTACTTTGATTTCCAGAAAGGTCCTTCACCAAAAGCTCTTAACCAAATAAGCTGTCATGGGATAAGAGGGAAGGTTGTCTCATGGATTGATAACCGGTTAAAACATAGGAAACAAAGAATAGGAATACATGGTCAGTTTTCATAATGGAGAGAGGTAACTAGTGGTGTCCGGACAGGGACCAATCCTGTTCAGTATATTTATAAATGATCTGGAAAAAGGGGTGAAGTGGGGTGACAAATTTTGCAGGTACAAAATTGCTCAAGGCACTTAGGTCCAAAGCAGATTTGAAGAGCTTCAAAAGGATCTCACAAAACTAGGTGACTGGGCAAAAAAAAAGCAGATAAATTTTAATATTGATGAATGCAAAGTAATGCAAATTATAAAACATCATCCCAATTAATACATGTAAAATGATGGAGTCTAAATAAGCTGTTCCCTCTCCAGGGAAAGATCTTGGAATCCCTGTGGATAGTTCTTGGAAAACATCCACTCAGTGTACAGCAGCAGTCAGAATGCTAGGAATCGTTAAAAAGGAGATAGAGACTAAGACTGAGAATGTTATTACCTCTATATAAATCCATGGTAAACCCACATCTTGAATACAATGTGCAGATGTGGTTGCCTCATCTCAAAGAAATAAAATAAAATTAAAACAAAATAAAAATAACTTGGCACTGTAAACATTTCAGTACAGGGCAACAAAAATGATCGGGGGTTTGAAATGGCTGCCATATGAGGAGAAATTAATGAGTTTGGGACTTCTCAGATTGGAAAAGTGGAGGTATGTAATAGAGGACTATAAAATCATGATTGGTGTGGAGAAAGTAAATAAGGAAAGGTGTTATCTGAACAAGAAAATAACGAGAACTAGGAGATGACAAAATAAAAAAAGAATAGGGTAGCAGGTTTAAAGCCAACAAAAGGAAGTATTTCTTCACACAGTGCACAGCCAACCTGTTAAACAATTTTCCAAAGGATGTTGTGAAGCCCAGGACTTTAACAGGGTTCAAAAAAGTGATGAAATTAATGGAGATAGATCATAAGAATGGCCATACTGGGTCAGACCAAAGGTCCATCTAGCCCAGTATCCTGTCTGCTGACTGGCCAATACCAGTTGCCCCAGAGTAGGGAACACAACAGGTAATCCTCACGTGATCCCTCACCTGTCACACATTTACAGACAAACAAAAGATAGGGACACTATTCCTACCCATCCTGGTTAATAGATTCATGGAGATGAGGTCCATCTAGCTCTTTTTGAACCCTGTTTAAGTCCTAGCCTTCACCACATCATCTGGAAGTAGTTCCACAGGCTTACTGTGTGCCGAGTGAAGAAAACTTCCTTTAGTTTGTTTTAAACCTGCTGCCTATTAATTTCATTTGGTAACCCCTAGTTCTTATATTGTGGCAATTAGTAAATAACTTCCTTTTCACTTTTTCTACACCAGTCATGATTTTACAGACCTCTACATATTCCCCCCCTTAGTCTCCTCTTTTCTTAAGATGAAAAGTCCAACAAGTCCTTTTAATCTCTCTTCATATGGGACCCATTCCAAATCCCTAATCATTTTTGTTGCTCTCTTCTAATGCCAATACTGTATATCTTTTTGAAATGAGGCGACCACATCTGCAGAATTCAAGATGTGGGTATACCATGGTTTTATGTAGAGACAATAAGATATTTTCAATCCCCCCTCCCCCCTTTTTTTTTAATGATTCCTAACAATCTGTTTGCTTTTTTGACTGCTGCTGCACGTTGAGTGGATGTTTTCGGAGAACTATCCACAGTGACTCCAAGATCTTTCTTGAGTAGTTGTAGCTAAATTAGTCCCCATCATATTGTATGTGTAGTTGGGATTATTTTTTCCAACGGGCCATCCTGAACCGCGGGGAGCCCCGCTGTCCAGCGATCTGCACATGTGCAGATCGCCTGAACCCGGCTTTTCCAGGTTACATTCTACTTGATTGTATTATTTGTCGAATCCTGGTTATTAGCCAGGATGGGCAGGAATGGTGTCCCTAATCTCTGTTTGAGAAGCTGGGAATAACAGGTGGGGGGAGGATGGATCACTTGACTATCTGTTCTGTTCATTCCCTCTGTAGCACCTGGCATTGGCCTCTGTCTGAAAACAAGATAATGGGCTAGGTAGACCTTTGGTCTGACCCAGTATGGCTGTATTTATGTTCTTGTGCTAGTTGTGGAAAATTGTGTAAAATGGATTTTTTTAAAGTTTGGATTTGGGCATGACTGCTGCAAACTTATATAAATTGTCCTCCGTGTCTGTGTCCACAGCCTGGGTAAGCTGTGGACTTCAGTAATATAAAAAAATCCTTTGTTTATATTCTATGCATGGAAGATCTCTGGAAGCAAACTTTGAGGATGTTTCAGCATGCTCATCAATTTAATACAAGAGTAGTTTCCAAATCTAGTCATGAGCTATAGTATATTTACAAGCTAATGCTTCTTGGAAAAACATTTATTTTGAAACTAGATTTTTAACCTTGTTTTGAATAGCTAAAACATTCAAATCTTTCTTACAAAACTCTTTCTAAGAATTGATATAGTTCACTGTAATGTTCTTTGGATTCTTGAATATGCTTGTTCTGTGGATGTGTGTGTATATAGTATTGATGGTTTGCACTGGTACAGTAATTTACCAATGTTTAATATAACTACCATTCCTCCTGTTCTTTTGAGTAATGACAGTAGAATTGGACACAATGGTTGTTTCAAAATGAAATCTGAATGAAATGTCTTATGTTTGTGAAGAACCTTTTTATTCTTGGAGCTGTGATTACAAAATCTTTCAGAAGATTATAAAAACATTATGACTATTTGATCATTGTAGAGATTACTAAATATAATAGAAGATTTGAAAAGCAAGCTGATCAATGAGAGAAAAGATAAGTTACTTTTGGAATTAAAAATTCGTGAAGAAGTCACACAAGAATTTACTCAGTATTTTGCTCAACGGGAAACAGATTTCAGGTAAAAACATTTTTTGTTTAGGTTGCGTTGTAGTCTTCTAGTTGTACATAACTTACACTCTTGTATAACTCAGTCATGTAATATTAATCTCTAGGTAAATATTTGTCCTTTACAATTGTAGAAAAAATAAAAGCAAAGTACTTAGGCTATGTCTACAGTTGCAACTGAGCACCACACCTTTTCTTTCAGAGGGTATGTTTACACTACCACCCTAGTTCGAACTAGGGTGGTAATGTAGGCAACCAGAGTTGCAAATGAAGCCCGGGAAATTCAAATCCCGGGCTTCATTTGCAACTCCGATTGCCTACATTACCACCCTAGTTCGAACTAGGGTGGTAATGTAGGCAACCAGAGTTGCAAATGAAGCCCGGGAAATTCAAATCCCGGGCTTCATTTGCAACTCCGATTGCCTACATTACCACCCTAGTTCGAACTAGGGTGGTAATGTAGGCAACCAGAGTTGCAAATGAAGCCCGGGAAATTCAAATCCCGGGCTTCATTTGCAACTCCGATTGCCTACATTACCACCCTAGTTCGAACTAGGGTGGTAATGTAGGCAACCAGAGTTGCAAATGAAGCCCGGGAAATTCAAATCCCGGGCTTCATTTGCAACTCCGATTGCCTACATTACCACCCTAGTTCGAACTAGGGTGGTAATGTAGGCAACCAGAGTTGCAAATGAAGCCCGGGAAATTCAAATCCCGGGCTTCATTTGCAACTCCGATTGCCTACATTACCACCCTAGTTCGAACTAGGGTGGTAATGTAGGCAACCAGAGTTGCAAATGAAGCCCGGGAAATTCAAATCCCGGGCTTCATTTGCAACTCCGATTGCCTACATTACCACCCTAGTTCGAACTAGGGTGGTAATGTAGGCAACCAGAGTTGCAAATGAAGCCCGGGAAATTCAAATCCCGGGCTTCATTTGCAACTCCGATTGCCTACATTACCACCCTAGTTCGAACTAGGGTGGTAATGTAGGCAACCAGAGTTGCAAATGAAGCCCGGGAAATTCAAATCCCGGGCTTCATTTGCAACTCCGATTGCCTACATTACCACCCTAGTTCGAACTAGGGTGGTAGTGTAGACATACCCAGAGGTACTAACCCCCTTTTTCACAAGACAGAAATTTTGCTGCAGCAAGTTTCAGTGTAAACAGCATGTCAGCAGGAGCATACTCTGTAGACCACGTGAAAACTGGCTGCTTGTTGGAAGTGGAAATACTTTGTCTGTAAAAGTGCTCACAGAGGATACACTGCACAACTTTTAGCAACCAGAGCTGTGTAGTGAAGATGGCCTTAGTGTTGACGACGTTTTAACATACTTGCCTCCCACCTCTCCGCTCTGTGCAAATGTTCTTATTCCTGTGTCCCATATAAGTGACTCTTCAGGGTTTAAGGTTAAACCATTTCTCAAAACATGTTAAATTTAAAAAGTTACTCCTCCTTTACCAGAATAAGTGCTTACAAAGCGGGCTATGCTTATGTATCTGCTCAACTTCACATCTCTGGTTATAACAAACTTTCCTGTACATAAAAAGCTTCCCTTTAAAAGAGGGAATAAAAGCTAAAACTAAACCACTTTCTGTTTCATGAGGTCAGCGTATGCTTGCTTTTTCACTATGCCAAATGGATGTATTTGATTAAATAAAATGGAGTTCTCCTCCCTTCTTCATCTCCCTTAGAAATTACTTGCAGATTTTTTTTCCACTGCTCTAGTCTTTTCCCCTCAGCTTTCTTACTTGGAGGGCCTTTTACTGGCCACAGCTAATTCAAATCCACTGCCCAGGTTGTGACATTAATCACGTTCAATGAAAGCAACGTCTTCTATACCAGGGCCATTCAACTTTGGAAATCCCTACTTCTATACCAGGGCCATTCAACTTTGGAAATCTCTAGGGCCACAGTGATACTCACAGCATCTGCCGAGGTTGCAACTTAAGTGTGATTGCATATATGTGTGTGTGTCTATATATCTATATGCAAATCACTTCTTTCACACTGATGGGCATGAATACAAAGTTTACGCAAGACTACACAACGCACAGGCCCTATTTATAGCCGTTCTGCTGATATTAATAAAATGCAATATTTACCCCATTTCCACCTATATCACAGTACTTTTAATGAATAGTGACAGTCCAGGAATTTAACTACTGAAACGCATATCAACCCAAACCTCACTGCAGGCCAGAAACAAATGGGCCTGCAGCCTGTGTGTTAAGTAGCCCTGTTCTATAATATTATAAAAGAAGAGGTGTCCATCATGCCTGCTGTCACCGAGCACATTAGAAAAGACTTGAGAAGTTTCTAGAGAGAGGAAGGCCCCCAGTCCCACCTACAGCTTTGTCCCCTCTGCCGAGGCCCTGCCCCCTCCACAAAGAGGGGAGGAGGAGCAGTGTGCACCACCACTGCCACGGCGAAGGACCACCCCCTGGAATAGCAGGGAGGGAAGGAGCCACGTGGCCTGAGGCTCCCCAGCACTGGGAGCAGCAGAGAGGGAGGAGGCCATGTGTGCATCCTCCCCTACACTGAGAGGGGAAGAGTGTGTGTGTGTGTGTGTGTGTGTGTGTGTGTGTGTGTGTGTGTGTGTGTGTATTGAAGAGGAGACACAGCTCCAGCCTGGAGCAGTGTGAAGGCAGACAGCTGCGTGGCCCAAGCCTCCCTGCCCCTGGGAATAGTGGGGAGGGAGGAGGTCAGGTGTACATCTACCATGGCAACAGGATGGGTAATACTCATGTGTATAAACTTTACATTAAACGAGTAAATTTGCAGCGTTGCATGGAGCCTGAGGTCTGGCCCCAAGCTCCATGCAGTACTACTGCTTTGAAATATCCCCTCTGACAGAGGTAGCGGGTGGGGGAGGGAGCGATTAGTTGATTAGTTCTTCACATCCTTACTGTGGACCTCTCGCCCCAGCCAGGGAGCTCTGGCCTTATTCCCGAAGCTCCAGACCCGTTCTGGCTACAGCGGTCAGGGAACTCCAGCCCCAGCCCTGGCTGTAACTAGGGAGCTTTGGCCCAGGCTGCGAAGCTCTCCAGCTCAGCCGCCTGCCCTGGTCACAGAGCTCCAGCCACAGCTGCGGAGGGCTGCGGTTCTCTCTGGCCCTGGCAGTAACAGGGCTGGCAGGAGCCCCACGGGACTAAGGCAGTAGTGAGGGAAGGCTGGAGCTCTAGCCCAGTGACAGCATGGCCACGATGGGAGGGACCTTCCCTGGTCTGGCAAATCCCCTCGTTCGGGACCAGTCAGGCCCCGAGGGTGCTGGATCAGCGAGGTCCAACCTATAGTGAAGTTTGTTAGAGCAGCTATGAGTGATTTAAAATTAACAGAACCTGCATATTCTCCCACGTGACAGTCAGAAGGTAGTGTCAGTGACTTCTAACGATCTCTTTTTAAATAACTAATTTCTAGCATTTGAACTCTTTAAATACAGGCAACACCTTTCTCATGAACGAGAGTTGCTGGCAGAAAATTCTGAACGACGCTTGCAAATCTACAAGGAGTTAGTAAATGAATGTGCCAAAAACCGGGATGAACAGGACACAAAGGATTCCCATTGTAATGAAAGAGCTGGAATGCTGGTATTTTCCCCTTCCCCCACATTGTTGAAGGATCTGTCTTTGTACTTTTAACTAACCTACTGTTAAGGGATGAGCACTTTCATGGTTGTGTTGATGTAAATTAACTCCAGAGACCAAGGAATTTGGTGGTGGTGATTTCAAGAATTCTTGTCCCAGTTAGGGTAGACCTTATTTCTTATTAAACTAGATGTTGGTACCTTTTTAGCTTGTCGTTAAAGAACTCAACAAGATTTATTTTGGGGATTTTTCAATGGATGAAAATTGGCATCTGTGCACTATGAGATTTAAAAATTAGCAATCCTGTGGCACCTTAGATACTAATGCACATAATATATCATGAAACAAAATACAGGACTATGTAGCACTTTAAAGACTAACAAGATGGTTTATTAGATGATGAGCTTTCATGGGCCAGACCCACTTCCTCAGATCAAATAGTGGAAGAAAATAGTCACAACCATATATACCAAAGGATACAATAAAAAAAAAAAAAGTGAACACATATGAAAAGGACAAATCACATTTCAGAACAGAAGGGGGATGGGGGGGGGGAAGGAAGGTAAATGTCTGTGAGCTAATGGTATTAGAGGTGATAATTGGGGAAGCTATCTTTGTAATGGATAAGGTAGTTGAAGATAGCTTCCCCAGTTATCACCTCTAATACCATTAGCACACAGACATTTACCTTCCTTCCCCCCCGCATCCCCCTTCTATTCTGAAATGTGATTTGTCCTTTTCATATGTGTTCACTTTTTTTTTTTTAAATTGTATCCTTTGGTGTATATATGGTCATGACTTTTCTTCCACTATTTGATCTGAGGAAGTGGGTCTGGCCCACGAAAGCTCATCTACTAAACCATCTTGTTAGTCTTTAAAGTGCTACATAGTCCTGTATTTTGTTTCAGCTACACCACTCTCACACGGCTACATTTCTATCACTATAATATATCATGATCTTTTATGGGTAAAACCCATTTCATCAGATGAGTTGGAGTGGAATCTGGATCCTACAATTTTCACTCTAACTCTTCTGATGAAAAGGGTTTTACCCATAAAAGCTGTGCCATAGGACTGCTCGTTTTCATAGAAATGATGGCTGTGCTAGGATCTGTCTAATAGAACTAGAGTTCTGTGTCAGCTGATTTAGAAATTTAGGCCATTTCTATATAACCATAAAACACTTTTAAATTCCTTTTCTAGGAAGGAGGAAATAATGTAGCTCCTGAAAGCAGTGTTGATTTTGAGGGCATTATTACATCTCTGCAAGATGATGTCACTGATATTAAGAAGCAGGTAGAAGAAACTCACAGGTATATTGTATCTTTAGAAGACCCACAAGAAGCTCTTGCTTGGCTTGAACAAAATCTGGGAAAAGCTACTGTTGAGCTAACTAAAACTAAAGAAGAGTTAACACAGAGAACTAAAGGTATGTGGGGTAAAATAAGAGTGGTTCTGAACTAATGCAGATATAGAAAATTGTGTTGAATTTTAATGAATTAAGTGGATTCAATATCTTCATTTTTTCTCTGTTTTAATATTTATATTTTAATATATTTGACATCTCATACTGTGATCTTTCTAGTTGATCAAATTGGATGCTAGCTCTTATTTTTAATTACACTATTTTAAGCTCAACCAAACCTCTAGCTGGGGATGTGGGTTTGGGGATGAGGGATTTGGGATGCAGGAGGGGGCTCCAGGCTGGGCTCTAGAGGGTTTAGATTGCAGGGGTTGGGCTCAAGGAGGGAGATTTGGTAGAGGAAAGGGCTCAGGCCTGGATCATGGCATGGAGACTAGTTTTGGAATGTCAGATTTGGGTGGCTCTCCGAAAGTGGTGACATGTCCTGGCTGTTCCTAGGCAGAGGCACAGATGGCTCTGTGCACTGCTCTGTCCTCAGGTGCGGCCCCCCCCACAGTTCCCCTTGGCTGCTGTTCCCAATCAATGGCAGCTGCAGAGCCAGTGCTCAGAATGGAGTGGGAGCAGATACGGAATCCCCATAACTCTTCCTCTGCCTTGGAGCAGCAGCAGCATGTTGCTGTTTCTAGGGAGCAGATAGGGACCCTGCCAGTCCCATGTCAACCAGACTATAAATCAGACTTTCAATGAAGATCAGAAAAAGCAATTTTTATAGAGCTTTCCGATTGGTACAGGGCCAGATAATATAGCTGCTGCTCTAGTGCTGTCCCTGTGGCTGCTCCACTGTAGGTGTTTGCTTTCGCATCCCTGCACTAATAGTTGGAGCCTATTTTTGGTGGCAGTGCTGGGTTGAGTCACATGTATGGTCACTCTCCCAGACAGTTAACTAACTGTGTGACAGACCAACCCACACTGCTCTGCCTAGAGTGATAGGGAAAAAAAAAGACACAATCAGTAGCTGGCTAGTTAGTTGTTAATTAGTTATTTTGTTTCCTCGTTAGTAGCTACTTAGCCTTCCTTTTGTTTTTTCTTCCTTGCATTGTGAGCTACTGCCTGAGCAGAACACCAGTCACACCTGGGCATAGTTGGTTGAAGGTGAAAGCCAGTCTCTCCTCCCCTAAATACCCTGTTTCCCAGACTTAAAACTCTGCCCCACCTGCAAGCTTGTGATCCCTGTCTGGGATTGCTGTAGTGTAGTTAATGTGTTCCATGCTCAGGCGAAGCATGTGTAACGGCGTGTCGGGAATTCCTCAGATCCTTTACCCCCATAGCAGCAAGAACAGACTCCACCATCCAGTAGAATAGGAAAGGTTTATTGCTTCTCCAGGATACAGCACAGTGTAGACATGATGTGGCTACAGGAGTGAAGGCCAGGCTCCCGTAGACCCCTTGTGGTGGGGTGCCTAGGCCCCTAAACTCCCAGCCCTCCACTTAGTCTCCTCTCTTCATGTTTCCAGCCAGACTGCCTTGCTCCCAGACGCTGGCCCCCAGCCAGGTGTTGGTCTCCACCTCCCTTCCTTTGTCTCTTCCCCCAGGGAAGAGCCTTGTTAACTGCTCAGGCTGAGACCAGGTGTCTGGGCCAATACACGTGTGGGTGAGTCAGTGGGAATCGCACATCACAGCGTAGGGGAACCCCAGGTTACAGAGCAGACAGCACCTCTGCTATGTCACAGCATGAATTCTACAAAAGTGTCCACGTTGGCTCAAGCTCACAGCCAGAACAAGATGGGCTAGACTTACAGTTCAAATTTCCTTCTTGTATGGAGAAGTATCTCAAACCTGCATCGGGTTTGAGATACTTCTCCATACAAGAAGGAAATTTGAACTGTATCTCAAACCTGCATCAGAACCTGAAACTTGGAACCCTCCCTCCAACTTGCTTCACTGACCATGGCTCCTGACAGGGGTCCTTCTTCTACTCCCACATCGGAACACACTTCCAAACATCACTTAGGTGCCTGCCTCTTTAAGTCCCCACTGCAGGGGTTGGCAGAGGAGAGTTGTTCCACAGGCAGGCATCCAGCACAGACTGCGCTGTCAGTACTGAGAGCTGAAGCAGAAGACAACCCTGGCACCACTAGACTCTGCCAGAGTTGGCTACAACAGAGGCACTAATGGAAAATCAAAACCCCAGCCTCTGCATTGCCAATAAGGAAACTACAACCTTCAAAGAGCAGCATGGCACCGACGCAAATGATGGCTTCTTCAAAGGCACTCCTGATGCTGATAGAGATGCAACTGACAGTGCCATCTTATGCTTCACTGTCCCCAGCACTGACAAGCTGGCAGCTTCAGGGTCCAATCAAACCAGCACAGCAGCAGTTCCTCAGTCAGAAGCATCTGTAACTGGGCTTTGCCCCTAACTTCCCTTTCCTTGTGTCAGTCTGACACGAATTTGGCATTTAGTCTCCTTGCATCCCCAATATCACCTGCACCTTATGCGAAAAAGGAAAACCAAGAAGCTCTCCCTCCATTGTCTCCTGTCTACCAGGAATCAGCCAACACAAGAGCATCTCTTTGGCCATACTACCCTGACCGTAAGTACTTACTGTGGTATGAACAACCCTGGGGGCCCCCAATATTTCACCCCAATGGGCATATTAGAATTTGTAGGCCACATACCCCAATAATAGAGATTACCTGCTACATCGAGACCTGGGGCACAGCAGTTGAAGGTAGCTTCTGTAGCAGCACCCTCAGTGGTGATAGGGGAACCAGAGGAAGAAGAGGATGACCCCGTAACAACCACTTGTCATTGTCCACAGAGAACACCATTATGCTACTTTTCCCCCCAATACAGGGTATGATTTTCAAATTATTCCAAGACCTGTTTAAGAAGGTAGCTTGGTACTGTGACTGTTTTTCTTTAGGAGATTCAAATAACACATTAGTAAGTGGACATTCTGGATACATCTGGTTCATTCAGAGTCATCTTTTCCATGAATGATGCACCAACGAACCCTGTCAAAACCATTTGGCAGACTCCTGTAATTGCTCCTTCAACCTGCAAGAGTCCAACAAGAAATATTATGTACCAGCCAAGGGCATAGAGTTCTTTTCTTGCATCCAGTGCCTAATTCCTTATTGATGAAGTTCAGGAATGTGGCAGGCAATGACAGCCCAGGAACACAACTCCTCATAAGGACTGGAAAAGTTGTGATATGTTTGGACATGAGGTTTACTCCTTGGCCATGCTTCACCTCCGCATAGCCAACTATGCAGCACTACTTGTAAAATATGATTATACAAACTTCATGAATATCTCCCAATTTACTAACTTTATTGCTGAGGACAAGAGAGAACAACTTGCAGTACTTGTGGCAGAGGGACAACTCATCTCCAAAACAGCTGTCCAAACAGCACTTGATTCCACAGACACAGTTGCAAGCTCCGGTGTGATGGTTCATGTAATGAGATGAACCCCTTGGCTCCATCTTTCTGGCTTCTCCAAAGAGATGCAATCCATGGTGGAAGACTTGCCACTTGAGGGGCCCAGACTATTTGCCGAGAAGACGGATGAGTCCCTCCACTCACTCAAGGACTCACAAGTGACACTCCAGTCTTTGTCAATCTATACTCCCAACCCAAGGAAAAAAACAAAACCAAATTACTATACACCCCAACAATTCCACTAGCCTATGTATTTGCAAACAGTGGCAATTGAGTTGTGAGGTTGCGGGCATAGTCCCTCATGGGAATAACAGTCTACTTCTTCAGTGGCTGCATCCCAGCTGTTAACCCCCAGACAACAAATCTGAAGCCTTAGTCCAGGGTTGGAGGAACCTAAGGCCTGGGGGCCAAATGCAGTCCCCAGCTTGCTTGGATCTGGCCCCCAAGACTCAGTGCTCCTCCCCAGCATTGGGGAATCCCTGCTGGTGGTCCAACCCCCCTGCTGCCCCACTTCAGGGCTGGAGCGCACACAATCTACTAGCCTGGGCTCCCCTAGGCTTTGGTGTTGGAGGGGAACATGGGGAGTGTTTTTCTCCTCAGTCAGGAGCCACATCAGTGAGGGTTTGTTCTTTGGAGGGTTTATTTGCCCCCGACCGATTTTTCTGTGGGTCAGCAGCCCCTGATCCGAAAAAGGTTCCCCACTCCTGCCTTAGTCGAAGACCCCAAAACCCCAGCTCTCCGTGACACCATGTCTCTCCTGAACATTCAGAGATTGTCCCATTTTATCTAAGTTGGGAGATTCTCATATCCAGGGGTCGACAAATTATGGAAAACCCTACTCACCAGACAAAAAAGGGACTCGCCACCCTCCCCCACAAAGTGGTTTTTTTTTTTTAAAATGGCATAAATTCCTAATAAGACTAAGAACAGTAATTACTAATAAGTTCTTAATAAATATCACCCAGGTTATTAATAAATATCTTATAAATCTCTATCTTTTCTCTACCATGTCTCCTCCCCTGGAGCCTGCTGCCCCCCAACCACTCACCCTCCTCTGCTGTCCTGACTCCTGCCTTCCTGAGACCTGCCCCCCTCTGCCAGCCCTTCTCTCTGTCCTGTGCCCACTCCTCAAGTAGCCCCACTCTGATCATGTGAGCTACCCCTCCTCATCCCCTCTCCTAAAACCTCCCTCTACACACCTGCCCTGC